TATCTCTGATGGCGTGAAATGGTGACATGAAAAGAGGATCTAATTCATGTACTGGGGAATCAGTGTCCTTCTCTGTGACCGTTTATTTAAAAAGAGAGAATGATTGGGAACTCATTCACCGCACAGACTGCCCATTGCTCAGCGCAACTCTGAATGTGGTCTTTGTGCCCTTGCTGACGTCATGAGCCTGATTGTATTAATGTGTTTCTCAAGGCACAGCCTATAAAAGCAATTTTCTGCACTACCATAGAATATTCATGAGAATACAGGCTTTTTTGTTTTGATGCTGCATTCTTTAAGTAGAGAAGATTTTATTGTTTTCTTCAGGGAGCTTTGGGTCAAAGAATGGCACAGCAAATTCTCTTGGAAACTCATGGCAATTCAAACGGTTTTTGATACAGAAATAGTACGAGTCACTTCTGACGTACCCGCCAGCACCCGAAAGCCTGAATGAATGGGGATATGGCCCTCTTGCAGCTGCCCACCCAGGGTCTGCTCCTGCCTACCTTGCCCCTAGTCGAGGAGAGGATGAGAAGGTGAATATGTCAGGGTCCTGGTGATCTCCTTGCCCTGCAGAGGCTCCAAACTCAGAGGGCAGCCCAGGTGCCTGCAGTCTTGGTGTCTTTGGCTAAGACTAGAGTCTCGTGAGGCACTTTTGAGTTTTAGGATGGTAAGTCCGGGCATTCTGACCTCTCCTTCTGACATGTGGTGAGGCTCGAGGAAGTGCCTCAGTGGTGCAGTGGTGGCATTCTGCTGAAGACAGGATGGCAGTGTGTTTAGCCAGTCTCAGGGAGGCTGAACACCAGGCCCTGCACCTGGCCTCCCTGCTGGTGTCCATGCAGAGGAGGGCCAGGGGATCCTTGCCTGTAGTCCACATTGCAGAGGGCTGCACTCATGGGGTATGTGGAACATGAGATGCAGTCCCTGAGGAGACCTGCCCAACCTCACCTCGGGTGTTCCTCCTAGGAGTGTGCTGGCCTGGCCACCCCACAGCGTGAGCTTTAGGAGGAGCCTGCGAGGGCAGGGAGTACACACCTTGCCAGCAATTACTTCTTGCCACACTATACGTCTTTCAGCCCAACTTGCAAAGATGAAATTTGAATTAATTTGGGGACCCATACAAACCTCCAAGAAAACAGCTTACAGAAGAGCTTAAAAAAATTAATGCTTTGCAAACTAAAGCTTGACAGATTGGATGAAAAAGAGAATTGTGATATTTTAAAAAATCAACAATAAAATCCCCTTTCCTCCCTTCTGTCTGCCTCTGCAGGTGAGGCCCCTGGGAAAAATCCCACCTCCCAGGTGCTGCCACCTCCCACCCCTGCAAGGGCTCTCCTGTGCTGTGAATGCGGGGCCCCAACTCTGTGACCACTGTACATTCCTGAGACCCCCCAGGTGGGAGTACCTGGTCAGTCCTGACCACCTGGCCAGGCCTGCCAGGGGCCTGTGTTGTGTTGGGAGTTTCAGGGTGTTCCAAGTAGTCTCTCCCTCTAAAGACACGGTTTGGGGGGCTTTTGCAAATGGTGTTGGCCTCATTTCTGTTAAGTGTTCCAGACCAAATGTCAGTTTGCATTTCCTTAGAGGATGCCCTGTATTCCAGACTCAGAAGCATCATCTGAATAAAGAAAATTGCCCCCAGCTGGCTATGGTGATGCACAGAGCCTGCTCCCTTCCCTGCTTGTCCCCAGGAGGCACCAACCCAGCAGCTCAGTCCTGGCCCTGCAGCTACTGCTGCTTCTCTTGAGCCTTGCTTTGGGCCTGCACTGTCCTCTCCGCCACCTCTACCCCCTGCCCTGCACAGGTGGCCACTGTGTCTCAGCAAGATGCATCCTGTGGACACTGCCCCAGCTCCACTGCCCACCTTGGGTCCTCAGAGCTGCACTGGGGGATTCCAGCCACCTGCCTCTTCAGGGAATGGTCACACTTGTAGAAACGTTTGGCCTAGCCTATTTTTTTAAGTCATTAAAATGGGTACCTTAAAAGTTGTTTTTGTTCAGTTTTTAGCACAATTAACCACTAGACACTTCTGACGGCACCCCTCCTCCACCTGTGAAGAGGTAGTAACAGGAGATGACCTGCAGGTGAGCTGTGGGCATCAGCTCATGCCCAGCACCTCTGACGTGGCCTTGTCTCAGTGAGCCCTGAGGTCACATCTTAGCAGCGGGGCCTAGGTCGAGGTGGTGTGGTGCTTGGGAAATACTGCAGCTTACAAAACGTGAGGCAGTGCAGGGATCTTACTGCTGCTCTGTGCTTTGCTCACTCAGACAAGAAGGTCGGTCTTACTAGGATACAGACATCGGCATTGCAGACAAAATGGTGACAACCTCAACCCATCGTGAGTGTGTGTGCATTAACTTAGAAACACACACAGTTAAGTTTATCCCCAGACGGCAAAAGGCAGGGTCACCTGCTGAGCATATTGGCCAGTGCAGGAAGGGGGTAGTGAAGCCCACAGGCCCTCGAGTTGCTGGTTTTCTTGACAGGCGTGTCCAGCAGCATCACACACCCTGAGGAGGTGGCATGGGACCCACGCCTGTCTCCAGGTGGCTAACACAGCTTTCCTCCCTACCTCTGTGTATTTTATTTCTTAACAATCTGAAACAATGCGTCAAACAGTGGTGTTTTATAAAACTGGCATTTGCTTATACATTTTTTTCCGTTTTGCTATATTTTCCCTTAAAAATGATAAAAAGGGAAAGAGGAGCATATAAGCCCTAGTCTTCTCCTGTGCATGGCGTGGGGTGTGCCTCTGCCCCGGCCCTGCTCATTGAATCCACAGCTTGTGTTTGTAGAATCTTCTCCCCTAAAACCTTTTGATACAAGAAGCCCAATACCCAATTATAAAACAAAAGGTGCATTAGACGTGGGAGAGAAGCATTTAGCTGCTGTCTCTCCATTGCTAGTAACACGGGAGAGGATTTGACAAAAACAGAAACAGGTAGCCAGTGGTGCACTGTGGGATGTGACCAGATACTGAGTGTTTTCCTATTGCATTGTGGGACTTTGGTCTCTTTTCACTGAGAAAGTATCCTGATCTGCTCACTATGGCTCAAGGCCCAGGCACACGCCAGCTTCAAGCTACTCTGGGCTCCATGGCCTCTCTCTGCCCATTCTGGGAGGGGCAACCTGGTGGGCAGTGTGGCCTGGTTAGGGACCAGGAGTTGGCTATGGACAGCTTTTGGCAGAGAAGATGGTGATTTAAGCAGAGGAACCTGAGGGCATCTTCCATCCTGGGCACCATCCTGGTCTCTGCCGTGCCCTGCAGGTAGAGTGACCACCTTCTTGTCAAGGACACCACAGCTCGGGGAGTTCAGGTGATGGTCCCCAGCTCCTAGTACTGGGCAGCACTGGAGATGAGAACCTAGTTCTCTTGCCAGAGCTGGGGCCACCTCCAGGCCACGTTTTCCACCCCTGCCTATCAAAGAAAGCCAAGTCCGGGGTCTGGGGCCTCCAGCACTGTGGGGGCTGCTTTGCACTGAGAGGCAATTAACCCACTTAATGCGCTATTCTTCTGGAATTGGTGGCTTTGAGAGTGTGGGTGCACTTTTCTAGGAGCTGGGTTTAGGCCTGGTGTTAGGTCATCCAGCTTCTGGTAGGGAAAAGTCCTTGAGCTGGTGGTCAGGTTCTAGAGCACAAGAGTGGACTTCTCTAAGGGAGGCCCAGACAAGGTCAAGAACTTACAGTACTAAGGCTGGAAGTGAGGAGTTGGGCTTGTCAGTGGCCCTGATTCCTTGGTCCAGTCTCCCCTTCCAGCCTTGAACCCCTGCCTGCCAGAGAGGAGGCCCAGCTCCTCCCAAGGTCACGCCTCCTCCTCAGGTCCCACCTCCTCTGTACGCCAGGCCTCCTTCAGTCCCTACCTCCTCCCCAAACCCCGCCTCCTTCTCTGGGTTTCACCTTTCCTGGGCCACCCCTTCCCCTGGACTCTGCGCACATGTGATAGATGAAGAAATCAGACGAGGCTTGCAGAGGTTTGGGGAGGTAGCTTCCAGGGGCATCCCCTGGAGGCAGCCTGTGCAGGCCAGCAGGGTGGTTGGGCTCACACAAGATGATGACAGCAGAGCTGCCCATTTGACAAGTGCCACTGGCATGTCACTAGGCCATGCTAGCAGCGCCTGGCTCAGAGTGAGTGCACGCACACGCTCACGTGCTCTTCACACATAAGCCTGCTGTGACAGGAGTGCACACGTCGAGTTATTTGTGTTATTTGTCATATAAAATCTACTCTCCTTTTTGCATTACTTTTCTCTTTGGCTTGGTATTGATTTGTAAGGACCAGGATTGATTTAGCTCTTTGTTCCTAGGCAGAATCACTCCTGGCATTTTTTTGGTAGCACAGGAGCAAAGTGCAGGGAATCTGCTTCTCTGAAGTGCAGAAGTGTGTGCCCTGGTGAGCGCACTTGTGCTGCAATCAGAGCGCATCCCATTGGCTGTGGTCGGGTAAACACATTTGCCAGGGGCACCCTCTTCGCCATGGAAACTGGCTCTTGGTGGCGAGCCTCTGTCTGGACCACTTCTGGGGCTCACACTGTTCTTGTGGTTCTCACATGCAACTCTCTAGTGGCTCCACTGCAAGTGCAGGACAGGGGAGCAGAGCAGGCCAGCCTGCCAGCCTGCCTGCCTACCAACCACGGACTGTGCTTTGCTTTCCACCTTGGCCAGCTCAAGCCTTTTTCTTTATTTCTCCCTTTATTGACGTTTAGCAGTGATGTGAGAAGACCTTTCTGCCTCTGACAGGTCTTTTGAGAGGGCAGGCTCCCCTTCAGGAGGGTGGGAGGGGCAGGAGGTTTGTGGAGTGTGTATCCTGCCCTGGTCTGTGTTGGGTTTTGTGATTTTTCACACTTAGGAATGGAGCCCTTAGAAGCCTCTGGGTCTTGAGTTTTGAGGCTGTTGGGTGAGAGGGGGAAAACATGTCCAGAAGGTCAGCTGTCCTCCAGCCCGTGGGCTCTGCGGGTCAGTGTGGGCAGCAGTGACCGGCTCTCCTGTGCTTATTCTCCCTGCAGTGGATGTGGCTGCAGCGCTGCCCCTGCAAGTGGCCCCCTCGGCAGTGCCCATGGACCTGCGCCTCGACCACCCGTTCTCGCTGCCTGTGGCAGAGCCCGCCCTCCGGGAGCAGCAGTTGCAGCAGGAGCTCCTGGCGCTCAAGCAGAAGCAGCAGATCCAGAGACAGCTCCTCATCGCTGAGTTCCAGCGGCAGCACGAGCAGCTGTCCAGGCAGCATGAGGCCCAGCTGCACGAGCATATCAAGGTGAGTCGGGGGGCCACAGACACCACCATGCCCTTGGCAGCACCATCCTTCTGTTCCTAAGGGTTGTTCCCGTCCCCAGTTGTGACACTGGGGCTCACATACAAGGCAGTCCTCACTGTGATGTCACACTGAATGGCAGGTACCAGCACACTCAGCAGCAGGGCAAGATTGAGGTCACTAGTGGAGGGTGCTGGGTGGTGCGGGGCAGTGGGCAATTCAGGGCAGTGGCTGGGACAAGGCAGTGAATAGCAGTGCAGGGTGGTGGGCGGTGCAAGGAGGTGGTCAGTACAGGGAGGTGATCGATCCGAGGCAGTGGGCAATTTGGGGCAGTGTGGGGTGGTGGGCGGTGATCGGTGCGAGGCAGTGGGCAATTTGGGGCAGTGCTGGGTGGTGGGGCAGTGTCGAGCAGTGTGCTACTCTGTAAACTCACAGAGTGGAAGCATATTGAAGTAGAGGAAATGTCCGTCACCTAATTTCATCTAGTTTGTCCACAGATAAAAAACTTACCAATGGCAAGAAGCACTGAAATGTTCAGTGTTGTCTCTGCGTGGTGTGTGTATAAATCATTTTCTTCCTGAGATATTTCTGACTTTTCTCACTTTTTCTCATTGACCTTTTATAATTGAAAAAATTGATACTTTCTTTTAATTTAAATGGAGTAAGTAAAAACTAAGGAAGACTTTTTTTTGGTACTTACTCTCTACAAATATTTAATCTGATAGCAGATTTGAAAATGAAGTGATGTGGGAAGAAGTTATATCTTGGCTTAGAGGCATGCAGCATAGTCCTGCATAGAGGGCAGGCTGGTTATGGTCTGTGATCACATGTTCTCACTGCTCGGAGCCATGGAGAGCAGCACTGGCTGATGGAAACATAAGGGGCCTGTTGAAACCACATTGGTAACTTTCACCTTAAACAAAGCAAAACCCTCTGAGAATCAGGTTAGTTGAGGTGTGTGTTGCTGGGTAACAGGGTTACCCCCAACCTGAGCAACTTGAAACAACAAGCATGTATCACTTCACAGTTACAGGACTCTGGAGCAGCCTGGCTGATGATTCTGGCTCAGGGTCTGTCCTTCGGGTGGCAGTCAGGGCTGGGGTCTCATCTGAAGGGTTGACTGGATCCAGGGGCAGGAGGAGCCACTTTCAAGCTCACTCGCAGGGCTGTGGGCAGGAGGCTTGGTGCTGGTCTACAGCTGCTCACTGCACACAGTTGGCTTCCCAGAGTAAGTGGTGGGCAGAGACACCAAGGCCAAGACCAAAGCCACTGAGCTGTCTGCAGCCCAGCCACAGACATGGTACTCTCCTACCACTGCTGCTTGTTGCCCATCACATCAACCAAGCCTGGTGTGTCGTGGGAGGTACCCAGATGGGGGTGACCCCCTGGAGATGGGTCTTTGGGGATTTGGGAGCCTGGCTAGCAAAAAGGAAAAATGACTATTTGATCGCATATTTCTGATCTATTTCTACATGTCAACAATAGAAAATGTCCCCAGTGAGCTATTTTGCATTCCTTTGTTCATGCTAAGCCTTGCCATACCTTGATCTGGGCCAGTGGTGTTTGGATCCCTGTGTGGTTCCTGGCTGCCGCACCGGGACAGCACAGATATCAGGCATTAAAAGGCCATAGCCTGCGTTACCTGAGGCTTCCGAGATGCTGCGTGTCTAGAGGCCCACACAGCCAAGGCCCTGGCTTCCAAGGCAGCAGCCCACACCCCTGGACCCACCTGACGCTATGCAGAGTGATAGCCGTACCTCTCATGCTTGTGCCTTGGCCAGCAATTCCCTTAACCACAGGACCTGTGGCCTCCTTGTATATGAAAGACACCTAGTTGGCATCCTTACTGGGTGATCACGTGAGTAGTGAGGTGAAGTGGTGTCACTTCTGCCTGGGATGTAGTGACAGGTTGCACAAGAGGCTGCCCAGGGCTCCTTTGCTGCTTAGCAGCCATGTCAAAACCTTGCTGGCCCTTGAGGACAGGCGCAGTGTCAGCTCCGCGTCCCGATCATGGGTGCCAAACCCTTGTGTGAGTCTGTGCTCTGAAGGTAAGCCCTGAGAGCTGCGGCCTCTGACCGCAGGAAGCTGGGGTCTGGGCAGCTTCCTTCCAATTCCCAGCACTGCTGGGAAGCTCTGGGGCTTTGGAATTGAGGTGGCGACTTTGATTCTTGTGGCCACTGCTGTTTTTTGCCCTGACTCACTCACTGGCCTTTAATTTGCTGGACTCAGCATAAAGCAAACAAAAGGGAGGACACTTTACTGAGCTGCTTGTCATCCAGGCTTTATCATTTCTGCCATCAGAATTCTGAGCAACTCAGTAGTCATGTGCAACCAAGACAGTGTGTGTCCATAAAGAGGGGGTCACCAGCAGTTGTGATCTGTCCCTTTAACAAGGACACTCCAGCCTGGAGTGAGACTGTTGCAGGCTCCACAATTGCCATGGCCCTCGTGTTCCTGACACTCCCGGCTGGAGGGATGAAGGGAAGGATGCTGCTGGATGGTCCTTGGAGTGCCGGCCTGCCAGTGAGCCCTCACTTTGCTGATGGTGGCCATTGCACTGTGGACAGGACAGGCCCACTGTCTGCTGAGGGGGCCTGGCTATGGGGCTGCCCTGGATCTGATTGCCACGTGTGGAGAAGGACGTTCCAGGCTGCCATAGGAGATGAGTACGTGTCAGGCCAGATGTGGGTCCTGGATGCCTGCAGCTCATGTGGCCTGGCGGCCAGAGCAGCCTTCCACAGGCCACATACTTTGTTTCATTTCTGAGCCACAGTTTCTCATTTCTGTGACTCCTGAAGGTGATTTTAACTCATCCAAGGGGTCCCCTGTTTATGTCCCATACTCTGGTGGCCCCTCGCAAGCCTGAGCAATGCCATCTTCACACAGCGACCTTTGACATGTTGCCTGGTTCCCTCACCTTTGCCTCATTCTGGAAACAGGAAGGAAGGACGTCCAGCCAAGCACGGTTCCTCTTTCCAGGCCCCCTCTCAGGTCCCTCCTGCCTGGCCAGCATCAGCCTGGGTGCTGCTTTATGTGTCTCTAGTACCTATTGGCCACTGGTCCTGCCTGCTGGCTGCCTGGGGCGTGAGGGGTGCTCACTACCTGCAGACCCACCCAGAGCCTGGCGGAGGACATTTTTCTGTGTTTTCCCTACGTAGCTATTGGAACCTTCCCATTTTCCACTCCTGACAGAATGAGGCATGTTGAAAGGGCAGGCACCTGGAAGGCTGCCTTAAACCTGGGGCAGGCACAGGTGCAGGGCATAGTTGTGGGGGAATTGTTTGTGCTGTCTTTGTGTTGGTTGAATTTATTGCTTTTTCAAAGAAAAAAAATAAATGAGAAGTAAACCCTGCACAGGTGAGAGGTTGCCAAGGATGGGACATAAAAAAGCACACTGTCCCCTGCAGTGTCCTGCCTCAGGGCCTGAGTCTCCCCTCACCTGGGAAGGGACTGTTGCATAAGTGCCCAGGGCTAACCCCCCAGGCTAGCCTGGTCCCCCAGAGAACTCCCCACTGACCCCCAGGGCTAAGATGACCAGAGCTCCCGGGTCAGGGTCTCAAAAGCACCAGAGGAAGCTCAGTGTTACCTTTCTCTGTACATTTTAATCGTTTTATTTCTCCATTAAAGTAGAGGTGGCAGTGTTGCTGGATCAGGAGGCTTTTGTTGTGGTGATTGAAACTCTTGAGGAGTGGTCATGTTGTCAGGGACATTTGGCAGTGGCATTTGTCAAACACATTTCATGAATGCAAAATCTAATTAGTGTCATTAAATCATCAGTAAATTTGAATCGAATTTTATAATTAAAAGGGAATAATAATCTTTAGAATCTAACCTAAATGGTTCCTTTTGAGTGGGTAATATCTCTGATGAGGGCTCATTTTTTAGCGCACCTGTGATTTCCAGCTTTCTTGCTGCAGGTGGCTCATTTACACGTTCTCTTCTCCTCCTGAGATAGTTCTCTCCTCTCCAGAACTGGACCTCAGGTGGATAGGGAAGCTTTTCTCTCGATTTCTGCCTAATACCTCCCAGAGGGTGCGAGGGTGGGATACAGAGAAGGCTGAGGAACCTCTAGCCCGATGTCATGGCCAGAGCATCCCCTGGGCTAGTGAGTCACAGAGCAGGGGCCGTGTGGGAGGGCCATGGTGCAGGAGTGGGAGGGCCATGG